AAATTCATTTTTGGGGCCTGAGGCAGTGAGGTGTCCTTGAGATTCCTGGGGAGGAATTGTTGTGTGTGAGCAGAATGTGAAGACAGGAACTAACGCTCCACATGGAGTTTAGAGTTATGCATGTGCAATGAGAGTGTAGGATGCAGTATAGGACTTGCAGAACAGGGATTATTGACAAATATAAAAGCTAAAATCCCGAGGCATCACCTGCAGGTGCCAGAAGCCATCCGGAAGTGCCAGCGGGCCGGGATCACCGTGCGTATGGTCACCGGGGACAACATCAACACTGCCCGTGCCATCGCCATCAAGTGTGGCATCATCCACCCGGGAGAGGACTTCCTGTGCCTCGAGGGGAAGGAGTTCAACAGGAGGATCCGAAATGAGAAGGGAGAGGTAAATAAAAACACTGAAAACACCGAAATGTTCTCCTGCACTGCTGTGTGCCTCATAATGGTAAAGAGTGCTTGGAAAAATCCCTTTTTTTTTCTCCCATTACATTTTTGCAATTCGAAACAGTGGTGAAATTCCAGTCTTTCCTCTTCCAGGATAAGCTTAGTGCTGGACTAATTCTGCAGTTTTTCGAACCACTGCACTATTCCACAAGAAATCAAAACTAAGCCCATTAAAGCAGGGTGATGGCAAGGAGGTGAAGGAACTCAACAGCAATTTTGCTCCTAAAAATGCAATCTGTACTGAGAACCAGCTCCTCTCATGTCTTTAATTTATTCCACTTCCTCTAATGTACTCACAGCAATGATTTGCATTAAAAAAATCTATCCTTTGGAAGATTTTTAACTCCTCATCAAAGATGGAGCTCACACACAGTTCTAAAAAAGTAAATTCTATGCTGGCTCTTGAGTCCATCATAAATGAGTGGACACAGTTATTTGCTCCCTGCACTGATAGGTGGAATCCTGGGAATGTTAATAAATGCAACAGGTTTGGCTTTGTTCCTGTTGCTACACAAGAAAATCCTGCCATTATTGGTAATAAATGATTTGGGTTCTCATGTGGAGTAAAACAACAAACTCACAAACAGGTTTGATCAGCTTTGAGAAACTCCAACAGCCTTTATGCAGGGTGATGATTCTGGCTGGAATTATCCTTAAAGAGGATAAAAAAGGCTGGTTAGGTATTGTGGAAAAATTTACCTGTGTTAGGCAGGAGCTGAGCCCTGTTAGTACCAGCCTTGTCTGCACTTGCAGCATCCATGGCTGCTGGAATTTTTCTGTGCTTGTGGAGAAAAGCTGCATGTTTGAGCAATGAGGGGAATTTTCTGATATAAATTCTGCTCATCACAGGCCCGTGGTTTTACTGTTTGGGTTCTTTTTTTTTTTTTGTGCTCTCCCCCTGCAGATCGAGCAGGAGCGGATTGACAAAATCTGGCCAAAGCTCCGGGTGCTTGCTCGCTCTTCCCCCACGGACAAACACACTTTGGTGAAAGGTGGGTGCAAACTGCTCTTGTGGGGGTGGAAATCAACGATAAAGGTGTTGAAGCACAGCATCTGCTTTGATTTCACTGTTACAAATCCACCCGAGTTGTTATCTTAACTGCACATCCCCACACCGCACAAGGAAGTTTTCTTGCACTCTTGTGTTTGTGTTCTACCTCAGCCTTGACATGGAAAATAATAGGAAACTCCTTGGCAGGAAAAAGAGAAATACCAATAAGATGCCTGGCAAGTGGATTTAGGCAATCTCATATTTGCATTGTGACTTTTAATTGCAATGAGGCTTGAGCTGGGAAGGGAAAATGTGCATTTTCTGGGCAGAAAGCAAATATTGCTGGGAAACAAGATATAAACAAGAAGGGACATAGATTTTTTTTATCTTTGCCTGTACTGCTTTATGAAGGAAACAAGAGGAATCTCATTCAGAGTGAATCCACTCACTCCAGTGCATCTCTTCTCCTACATTTATCTTAAAGACTATTCCAAGAAAAAAACCCCTTTTCCTGTCACAACAGCAGTTATTGGGATGGTGGAACTGGGAGCTGCCCAGTGGAGATGGAGATTTTCAGCCAATTCCATTTTTCCTATAGGCTCATCTAATTGTGTCATTTGCATGGGCTTCCTTTAGATTCCTGTATTTTTAGAATCTGTCCTATAGGAACTGCATCACACAAACTCCATTCTCTCACCACACTGCCTGCAGATGGAATGCTCCCATTGTTTGCAATTTACTTTTTTCTTTGGATGACTTGATGTCTTATGCAGGAATAGCCTCATTTTTGGCCATGTTCAGGTGGAAGCCCCATCAGCAGATTGCTGTGTTCTGGCTTCCTGATGAAGAAAGAGCTGGAGTCTTTTGCTAGGGCCCTGGAAAATCTGGAGAGCCCATTTTAGCAATTCTTGGAGCAGCTAAAGTTCAGGCTCAGATCCAGCTGATCACTTACCTGTTTACAGCTGGTTGACTACTCCAATAATAATCCACATTTCGGGAGGAAATCCTTTAGGTTTCATTTCTGTGATTCCATACATGACTGATTACAAAGGCTTTTGAGCATCATGCAATTTTTAAAAATGCCTACATGATTTTAGAGCAGAAGTTCCATTGTGAATTTGAATATTGCATCAGTTGGGTCCTTTGGGCTTGAGACCAGGTGGAAACATGGATCATTCCAGGGACCTCTGGCATGGTGCTGGATGGGGCAGCTGGAGACAAAATGTATCATCTCCATCCCACCCTTTTATAATGTGCACAATTTCTTAGTATGGCAGTACCTATGTGCAATTAATAAATAATATACATTTCTGGGGGAGGTGTGCTCCAAAACAGTTTTCCAGCAGGGGTTTGTTCAGGATTGGAGAGGTTTGGAGAGCATTTTTATCTCCATGGGTCAGTGTTAGACCTGCACAAGGTCAGCTGAAGTCTCCTCACCAGGGCATCTCAAACCCTGTGCTCCAGCTCTCAGAGAACAGCCCTTGCTCAGCCCAACAGCTGATTTGTTTCAGAAACACAACAATTTGTGTTTCATTAGGTGGATTAGCCAAGTCCCTCAGGACTGCTCGTCTGAATCATTCAGGATTTTCCCTCAAGAGGAGAAGGAAATGTTTGCCAGGGAAATTGAAATCAATAGAGAGCTGGAGAGAAAAGGAACAACAAACTGTTGATGGTTTGTAGCACACGCACTTTGACAGCCCAAAAGATATTTACTCTCACCGAATGCCACATGCAAGTACCACAATTAATGTTTCAAAAATGTGACAAGGTCGAGAGAGCAATTAAGTGTCTTAACAAAGTTCAAGAATGAGTCTGTGGAAATCATGATGGAATCTTTTGGCTGGTAATACTCCAAGGGCCATTAAAAGTTACAAGAAACTATTTAAATGTTCACTAGTTTTGGGCCTCTTGTTAAAATGTTATGTTTTTCTCACACACTTGAGGGATTGAGAGGATTTTCTCCCCTTTGATGTATTCTATCTGCTCTAGGCTAAAAACACACATCAGAAAATAAACTTTTTTTTATATTTAATTTTTAATGACATACAGCTGCTGGAGGGAATCTTTTTTTTCTCCTTAACATAGCACAATCCCACCCAGCAAAAGGATCATTTTTATTTTTCACTTTTGTTTTCAGTGCTGCTCAGGGACCAGAGAAAGGCATGGTTCAGCATTTCAGCCTGGGCACACACTTGCAGTCAAATATTTATGGCTTTGAAGTAGAGGTAGATTGGAAAAACACCCATCAGAATGCTTTATCATCACAAAGTGCTTCAGTGAAACCAAAATCTCACTGAAATACAACCTGGGGTGGGTTTTAAGACACTTGTTGATTTTATTTCATATTTTAACTCTATTTCAAAATAAATAAAACCACGTATCATTTATACTGATGTGAGGTTACAGTGTTATTGCTGAAATAAATCAAAATTGTCAGTTTATCTTTTAAAAACACTGTGGGAAACAGCTTTTTAACATGGATGGGGAATATAATCAGAAGGTATATGAAAGATCAAAGAAATATTCCGTTTACCAATTGAAGAAGTGGTGCCTCCCAATATATTTAAATTAGACTGGAATTATTTTTTTGGTGACATTAAAAACAAGTATTCTTATGTAGGGCTAATTTGTTATCAAACAGAAAGGGAACTTTAGGAAGAAAAGATTTTTAGAAATTACTCTTAATTACTAAAATATTTCAATTATTATTGCGTGGCATAGTAGTATGTTCATAATCTCATTAATGTGGAAAGCCACGAGATGGGTAGAATAATAAAAATACAGAAAATTGTATTTCTTGATACCCTGAACTTTGGGGAGGAATTTCACTTAAATCCCAATGCTGTCTGTAATGTCATGTAGAACATTTTTATATTAACCCTTACATTTCTATCCAGGCAGGTGCCCAAGCATGTAACTGAAATAAATTTGAGCTTTCTCCTTCAGACAGACTTTGCAAATTCTTGTTCTATTAAGAAGGAGCTTCCAGAAGTTTGGAAGTATTAAAAACTAACTTGAAGAGGACGTGTTTATGAAAATACATGTCTGTACCTATGTTTAGCTTGTCAAAGAAACACAAATCTGTGTGAGCCTGGGGGAGGATCAGCTTCCCTGCCTCTCTAACCCTGAACTGGGCTTCAGCTCTGAAATCCTCAGCTGGGGCTGCATTTTCCTGCCTCTTTTAAGAGTTGTGACGGAAAGAAATCTCTAAACCTGAATTTTCTTTCTCCCAGGAGCTTCTTACTGATGCAACTCTAAGGGTGGCAAGCAAGGATTGTTTAAATAGAGCAGCATCTGTGCTGTGACAAAGGGAGAACCTGGGGCTGCCTGGGGTGGGTTTGAGCTGAGCCATGGCTGCAGAAGAGACATTGTTGGTTGATATTCCTTAAGTTTTTACCCTGAGTGGATTTGATTTAATGCTTGCTTAGTGTTAAATGGGAGGAAGGTGGAAGATGTAGGATATATTTCAGTTTTGTATCTCGTATTTTGTACTTTTTATAACAGGCTAATGCATTTAGAACCCTTCTTGACAGCTCTGCATGGTTGTTTTAAATCTGATCTTTGCCCTCATCTGACACAAGCTGCTTGCTCTGAGAAACTTGTGTCTTATGCAAGCTGGAGGATAAATTCCTGCCCAAATTCCTGCCACATCAGCAGGATCCCTGTGTGGAGCACACTGTCATGTTCTGCTCTAGGTGTGCTCCCAGGACTGCTGAAAGAAATTCTTTCTGGCAGAGGAAGTCATGGCCAAGCAGCTCAACATGAGGGAAGAGCCAATGAAAGAGCAAAGGCTGTTTTGGCAGGAAGCTTTGCTGAGAGTAGAATTCCCTGTGAAAACCTGTTTTTATTAGAATTCTGTATTTAAGCATTCAACTGGAGTGAAGCTGTACAGTTGGAAGAAATTTCCTGGTTGTTAGATGTGATTAATTAATACTGGAGCTTCTTTTCAGCCCCTTGGATTGAGTGCAAAGGCCAAGGAATGTTGTCTTTACTGGCAGCCTGTCAGCTCATGCCCTCAGTCACATTTGCCCCTGATCCCCACAGCTCAGGACTGCACAGGGAGAGCCCTTCCCAAGCATCCTTCTTCTCTCTGGTCTCCTCACACTGTGAATTTTGTCTGTGCACAACTCTCAGTAATGAAGAAAATTCTTGGGGTGAAATCTTATCACAGCCATTAACAGAATATTAAAAACAAACCTGAATGTGTTTGAAAGGAGGCTGGAAAGAAGGCAAACATTCAGCAATGTGAGGAAGCAGGGAGGAGGAACAGATTAAAAGGAGCAGGCACAAGTCAGGGAGTGTCAGTAGAGCTGTGATAAATCCTCTGGATCCCTAATAATTGCTGCTGCTCCATGTTAGAAGTTTGTCTGACGTGCAGACAGGAGTTTTGCAAAGTCCTTCTCTCTCCCATGGGTGCACTGCAATCATTCCCCAGAATTCCACGTGTTTCCTGTGGCACTCCCAGTGGGCACTGCAGGGAGATCTGGGGCTCAGGTGCTGATGACACCTGAGACCTTTTCATGTCTGTTTTTCCACGGCTGTATTCAGGTCTGTGCTCTGGGCAGTGCTGGGTCATCCTGGTTGAAGAGTTTGGTGGGTTTTGGGATAAAAGTGTCTCCTAAACCTTGTGAATGACTTGGCAGCACACAGGAATTGGCTGATGGAGGGCAGTTGGTGGCACAGCCATCAACACAGTCACAGTTTATATCCATTTATCTCTAAGAGATAAATCTAGGAGATCATTTATTCGAGCCTCTTCAACTTCATTTGGGTTTTGCTCCCACTTGGAACCCAGTTGTGAGCGGACACTATCGACCTCTTTGGGGCAGTTAATACCTTAATGAGCCAAAGATTTTAATGACTTTATTTTCCAGAAGCTTAAACTATTAATTTGACATCAAAGGATGTGTTAATAACAAGACCAAGTAAATGCTTTTAACAGTACTGACATATGATGCTCCTGTTTATTTAGTAATTCCAAAGGCAAATCACCCCAACAAACCGAAAGCTCTAATTGTAAGATCTTATCAGAATAATTGCCATTTTTCTGAGATCATCCTACCAGTGGAAAGTGAATAAGGCTTTTTTTCTCATTTTCATAAGTCTGAAAATACAGGGCACTAACTGCTTGCACAGGGCACTGCAATCTTCTGGTGCCTGATAAGCCTGAACCTTGCCAAGAGGCAGCTATTGCTCTGTAATCTGCAATTTCCTATTTCTCCTTGGTTATCTGATATGGGAGGGATTTTTTTTTTTTTTTCAGAGCAGAATGAAAGCTTTTCTCACTGGGTAGGTTTGGATAATTGTTTTTGGAGGTAACGACTTTGTGCAAAATGTGTTAGCATAAGGAATTCTGTCATGTTCCTCCCCATAGTTATCAATATGGAAAGGTGTTCTTGTATCCTACAAACAATCCTGTGTTCTGGACTCATACTCTAAGGAACCTTGACATGGAAATAGAAACATGAGTGGTGAATTATCTTCATCCTATAAAAACCTGGGCTGCTTCTGTAGCCTCTGAAAAATTCTTTATTATTTTCCTGACTTTCCCTATCTGCATAAGTGGAAAGTAATTCCCTGCAGCCTTGTTGTGTGAAAAACTTGATTCACCAAGTGAAAAGTGTTTTTTATTTCTCCCAAATGATCTCAAAATGAAAGTAGAAATTATCTTATTATATCTATTTATTAAAATGCCCAGAATGTAAAGAATTAGTTTACATCTCCTTAATCATTGTTTGGCAGAATTGAACATGGCTGCAAAAATTCTACAGCTAAATAAAATTCATCGATGACTTTTGTCATCCTTAGGTTAAGAAGACCTCTTAGTAAAGCTGATATTACAGCTGGGTCTCAGTTTAGGAGAGTCCTAAACACGAACTTAAGTTTTTGGTAAATCCTATCCATTGGTGTTTGATCAGTGCTGGGCTGTGACATAAAACATTAAATACCAGGAATCTGACAAAAGGACAGAATGAGCTACTCTCATGCCCTTTGAAGCCTGTACAGGTTTTGCTGATGTGTTGATGATGCAGGATCAGAACTTTCCACGTAAATTCCAATGGTGATGTTTAGTAGTGGGTAGTGGTGCTTTCATCATTATTTTCCTTACAGATCTGCCTTTTTAATCTCTGTAAACCTGTGTGGTGTTATCCAATCTGTATTATACAGACTCTGCTTTTTTTACAGGGACATTTTATCTTGCTAATTACTGCCCTTAAATGTCTGTAAACACACACCTATATTTACATTTTTTGCAGGTATTATTGACAGCACACAGGTGGAACAGAGGCAGGTGGTAGCTGTGACTGGGGATGGAACCAACGATGGACCAGCACTCAAAAAAGCTGATGTTGGCTTTGCAATGGTATAATCTTGATGTTTGTGCCATTATGAATTTGCTGAAAGAGCTTTTCCATTCATTAAATGTGAAGTTGCTTAGTTATTACTTGTTGGTGCAGGAATATATTGGTGGGAACAAGTTATGTTGACTCAGAATTCTTTAATTGACTTGGATTCACTGGCATTGCTTGTTTTCATATTTCTTCAGGATTTTGTCAAATTAGTTATTGGCTTTATGCAGAATCCTGTGCCCATACAGAAAAATGAACTTTTTCTTCCCAACACTGGAGTTCTCTTTTGCTGTGGTAAAATCCACCACTAATTGGAAAGGTGTCTTCCATGTGTACTCTGACTATGTATAAAGACATTTAATTCTCATTTTTGTTACCAATTCTGTTCATGGATAACAAAAGAACATCATCAATGACAAAAGTAACTCTGATGATCAGCAGTCTTTAATCTGATAACACACTCAGAGCCATCACCACATGAATTCCTCTGCTCTCTATCAATTCCCTTTCCTGTGGCCTGTTTCACTCCAAAACCAGGCCGAGTTAGCGAAATCCCAGGAAATATAAAACTGACTGTGCAGATTTGTGCTGCCCAGCAGGGAATCTCATTCCCAACCCCTTTCCCCAGGGCATTGCTGGCACGGACGTGGCCAAGGAGGCCTCGGACATCATCCTGACAGACGACAACTTCAGCAGCATCGTCAAGGCCGTCATGTGGGGCCGCAACGTCTACGACAGCATCTCCAAATTCCTGCAGTTCCAGCTCACCGTCAACATCGTGGCCGTCATCGTGGCCTTCACCGGCGCCTGCATCACCCAGGTGAGCAATTCCTGCCCAATTCCTGCCCAATTCCTGCCCAATTCCTGCCCAACTCCTGCCCAATTCCTGCCCAATTGCTGCCCAACTCCTGCCCAATTCCTGCCGAAATCTTGTCGGGATCCCGCCGGGATCCTGTCGCAATCCGGTCGCTCTCCGTGGATGGGGCCTTGCATTTGGCTCGTGCTTGGCACACAGGTAAACTGAGGCCTGTTCCCTGTGCAGGGCTGGGCTAAATGCACAGGGCAGGAGGGAGTCTTTCCCAGTGACTTGCAGCTGAACTGATTACCAAGGAGTGGAAATATCTGTGCCTGGTCAATCAGCTTGGGGGATATAAAAGAGCGGGTTAGTTGGCACCATTTGCAGTTTGAGTTGGATCTTGAGGCTGAGGGTCTGCTGGAGTAAGAGGAGGAATCTGCTGGCTGTGCTGTGAGGAGGAAGGGACACGTGGTTGTGCAAGGGACAGACAAGGTAAGAAGATGCTGTGTGAGGGACAGTCAGGGCAGGGTGGCTGGGAAAGGGACAGCTGGGGGTTAGCCAGTCATGCAGAGTGAAAGGAGTCAGAGCTATGTGGAGCTGCCTGTAAGAAAAGGAGTCAGAGTTACCTGAGAGAGGTTTATGAAAGAAGGAGTGAGAGTTGCTTGAGAGAAGTTTGTTAAGAGAAGAAGACACGCAGAGTTTGTAGCTAAAGGACTGGTGGTGATACCAGCCATGTCTGTCTCGACATAACTGCAACACTTCCTTGGTCCTAAAATAAAGAGCTAGACACAGTTAAAGGTTCTTACCTTGGTATTTAATAAGGATTTTTATGATGTAACACTCCACCAAGGTGGAGCACGCTGAAATGTGTGCGCACGATAGATTGTGTCTACAATTTTATGGACCTTGAAAATGAGCTTGTCTAACAAAGATGCCCCAGTGAGATGCTGGAATGAATAGTGTGATACCTTTTTATTTTGAAGTATTTTTTCCAGGATGAGCTTAATCTAAGTTTACAGGTAGTATTTTAGAGGGGACCTTGGTTTTTCAAGTTAGTATAAGGTTTTCTGGCCTCTGAGGCCTTTAGGATGTCTGGTTTTGTGGCTTAATAGAATATCAGGACTGTGCTAAGTGATCAGACTTCAGGAATTACAGGTGTGTATGCTAAGAGCTCTCAGAATACATAAAAGATATATAAAAGAAAAGGGAAAAAATTGTCATGGCATCAAAACATTTGGGAATTCTCCTGAGCATTCCAGGCATCAGGCTGCTGAGGGTTAAAGAGCTGCTGACATCAGGCTGGATTAATCTGACTTTTTTCCCAGAGGAACTCGCTTTTAGGAGCTTTTTTGCCTCCCTCAGTGTTGTCATCCTTGAGCCTGTGATGGTCCAACAGAAAGCACCATGGACTGGGAAAGGAGGACGTTATATGAATTTGCCTTTTCCTCTCAGAATACTTCACTAATAAGTACCTCGTTTTTATGCATTATTGGAATGAGGTTATTTTCAAGACAACAGTGCTGACACATGGAAGTAACCCTAATCTTTTTGCTTGATAAAATTATTTTACTGCTTTCAGGCAGTTATTTTTAATTCCAGATGCAGATGACAGACCAATTAAATGACACACAGAGTTGATCTGATCTCTCTTCCACTCCATGAATCCCTCACTGCAATCCTGGTGCACATGCAACATGTCCAGGTCATTTGCAAGAAGCATATCTCAAAGCAAGCATATTTTTTCCTCGAGTTATAATTTTTAGGGCAATAAAAATATTTTTTTCCTCTAGACAGTAAACAGGATATATGCAGTACAGTGTAAGGTTTTTGTTTCAATGAGAAAATAACAAAATGTGCTTTTTCGTGCTGTCAGTCCTAAAATAATGTATATTTTAGATGCTGCAGACAGGTGCTGTCACAAAATGCCTCCCTGGATTGGGATGCAGTGTGGGAAAGCTGATGCTTCCCTCATGGTGCATCACCCAGATGCCCATACCTGTTTCAGCAGGTACATTTCAGTCCAGGAACACCTGAGCAAAGCAATGAATAAGTCATCAGCTGTGCTCCAGGCTAAACTTACACTGGAATCATGGAATTGATCCTTGCAACCAGAAACCCAGGTACCTTGACAAACCCACGAGGTCAGACTTCTCCTGCGCCCTGGCTGACATTCAGAGGCCTTGGAGGTCCCTTCTTGTCACCACTGAGCCTGTGCTGAGGGACAAAATTCCTGGTGCTGCAGCAAAGTTGGATGAATTTCCCTTTGGAAATATTTGCCAGGATCTTGAGAAAATGTCCAGCTGTGAAATGATTGTTGCTGGTAACACAGGAATAAGGACTGAAACTCTGGGTGGTACAAAACCAGTCAGAACAAGGGGGTGACAGCAGAGTGGTGACAGCACCATCACTGGAACTGATTTTATTGACTCTTTTAGTGTCTGACTATAAACATTTGTTTAAGGTGAAATTTCTTGGTCAATGCTCAGCATTTCTTCAGTTGTTTTGTGAAAACACAAAGGGAAATTCATTCTATTTGTTAACCAAATAGTTTTTTATGCCTGAAGAAGTTAAATATTGCTGGATCAGTGCAAGGACTAGTTTAAATTGAGTCTAAGTGAATGTGAAGTGCATTATCAGTACAAGCATATTCCCCTTTTTAATTCTGGAGCTTTTTTCATCCTTTGTATCATTCCTTTAGCTTCTGGAAGGATTTGGATCAGGCCCAATGCATTTCTCTTGCCCCAGGGGTCTGTGAGACCATCCCTGGGCATGTTGTCCCTGCTCTCAGGTTTTAGTGGGCACCCCCTGGAACTCCTGGGCTGCTTTGCAAGCAGATTCTGGTGCAATTCCTTAATTTGGCAGTCAGGATGCAAACCCAGAGGAAAGGTGTGGGAGAAGCTGAAGTGGAAATGGAAGCAGAAAGGCAGCAGTGCTGTCCTTTGCCACTGTTTACACTCAGTGTGAATAATCTCGAGCTGCTCCCAGTTCTGTCTCATTCAAGGAGGATTTTGCCTCACAAATGCACATTATTGTGTTAGGCTTTGACTCCAGCCAGCCAAAGGACATTCTGTTTGGCTTGAAAGCTTTGCTAAAAATTGCACTTGGGAACATGCTGTACCCTCTGGTTGCTATGAAAATAGCTCCAGCACAAAGTGCAGGACTCTACCAGAGAAATCTTGCCTGCAACAGTCTAGGTGCACACATGTACATCCAAATCTGCAGAGCTGTGCATAGGTCTGGCTGACAGATTTTGACTGAAATGTTTCAGTCCTTAACAAACAGAGCTTAAATCTATCGTTTCCAAAAGGCAGCACAGCTTACTGTGACCTTCAAAATGAGCATGAAGGAAGTCCACACTGGACTGAGTTTTCCTCTGATTTAGGTGCTCAGTTTGGCTTTCTCTGACACACAGAATATAGTTTCAGTCCATCATTAATATTTGGGTTAATGAGCATTACACAGGCTGTTCTTTTGGTGACATTTCATATTTAGAATGAGAAAAATTCTCTGTAGGTAATAACACTTGTTCTGTTCTTTCTCATGCCACCTCTCAAATGACCTGTTTGAAACCAGCACACTGGGATGCTTCAGGATGAGGCTGCCTTTACACTCACCCACTCTTTTTGGTTTGTGCTTAAAGGAAGTACAAAGATAATAAAATCTTTGCTTGGACTAATCTTTTTTTAACACTTGGCTTGTGCTTTGCAACTTAATGGGCTTAATTTTATTCAGTCTTGATCCTGCAGTTGCTCTGGTGTACATGTAAATATGAGGATGTGGTCATCTCCCTGCAGGACTCCAAGTGAAACCACAGCAATTCTGTATTAATGAATTAATTAATGACTCTGTGAGTGTGGTGGGAGTGAAGCCAGCCCTCCTGGGGGTACCTAGAGAGTGCATTGCCCACCCAGGAGATGATTTGTTTGGTCCAGAGCACCTTGGGAGGCCTATGGAGAGGCTTAAGAAAAACATTAGGCAGAACCTGGGACCATTAGTGGACATTTTAATAATCTGCTGCTTTTTTCCTCAAATAGATTAATGAAGTGAGGGATCTTGCCAATTACACTTCAGGGAACTGCTGTTTATTTAATTCTGTTAATTTTAAGCAAATATAGTTTTATTTTTCATCTACCCAATGCCTGCTTCAAGGAGGTAGCACAGTTGGAGAATATCTGCCATATCTCTGATTTTTGTTTTGTCCTGGTTTGCTGTTTCAGTAGATAGTGATGTGAACAAGTGACCCTCTGTGCTGCTCCAGTGCCAGATAAAGCTTATGCAGGACAAACAGTGGGCTGTCAAAGAACTTGCTATGCACAGACCAAGGCAAATGGTTGTTTCTCTTGTCTCCCCTGGCTCCCAGCACGAAGTCATGTTAAGGTGACAGCAATCATATTCTGAGCAGCACAAGAATTACAGATCCAGTGTCACCTGCTGACAAGCTTAGCACAGCTGCTGCCACAGCCACCCCTCCAAGGGATCTCACTTACACGGGGCCCTGTTTCAGTTTACAGCAGCTCCATCTATGAGCCACAAGATCTGAATTTGCAGCTAATAATGAACTTCTGTGTTGTGAGTCTGTAATTACGTAAGGAGCTCTGGGATCTGGGTCATGCAGGAAAACAGAGCTTGGAGAAGTCCCTGGTGGGAAGGTGACTCAGGAGCCCTCAGTTTGGGTGCAGGGGTGGTTTTAGCTCAGTGTCTGTGTGTGCACAAACCCCCAAGGAGTTCACACCTCTGGTTACTCCCAGAGAGGTTTGTGTGGCTCAGTGCAGCTGAGCTGGGCTCGTTCAACTTATTTTTAATTAATCTAATTCAGTTTCCTCTTGCTGCCTTCCCTGTGGTGCCCATTGCACACTTTTAGTGTGACCAGTTTGTGTAGAATTGTCCTTCCCCTTCTGCAGCCACTGCCTCAGCTTAAACCCATCACTTGTTTTTCCAGCGGATTTATGAGCTACAAACTTTTATGTTCTGACTTCATTCTCTGAATAACAGTTTTGCAGAGCCCCTGATTGATTCAGTCAGTGAGGGTGGTTCTTTGGAGCTCTGCCCACGATTCTTGTGAGGTTTGTGCCTGCAGTGAGTCACTGCTGCACATCTCTGGGTGTCCTATAGAGCTCTGTATGGGCTCACCCCACTCCCTGCCCCAGCAAACCCACAGCACCCAGAGGATATCAGCTCATTCCCTTTGGAGCTGCCCAAAGTGATCTGGCTAGGAGCAAAATGAAGATTATTTAAAATGCAGCTCAGTCAAATGGGAACAGTTTTTTACTGGAGCAATGGAGCAAGCGGGTTTCTCTCCGTGCCAGGTTCGGGCTGTGGCTCCAACTGTTGAGGCAATTGAACTCTTCAGAAAGGTTGCACTGAAAAAAGGGAAGACAAAGGCTGTGTTTTAACATTTTACATTCAAATTATTATTCTTGCACTTTGAGAGGGACTTAATGTTTTAGCAGACATTAGGAGCTGAAAACAGTGACTCCATAGGACATTATGTTTGGAAAATTAAATGTTAATTAAAAGGCACTGTAGCAATGAACTGCTGCATGAATCACTGATTGTTTTTACAGGTCTTGTTCAAAAAAATGAAGATGATCTATACTTACATGTATAAGGCAGTAATTTACGTGGTTATAATGTTTTACTGCAGAACTGTACTTGGCAAATTCTAAAATAATAGCACTGGCAAACTTGAAAAAGCTGTAATATAAAATCAAAGTCTGCACTGTTTAGCATTGTTTTGTCAAGGCATTGGGATGGAATTGAGGATGCCACTTCCATACAATTAGCAGACAGTGTGATCTAGCAGCACAGTGACTTTTTTTGCATTAACGTATAGAAAGGTAACTCCCAGAAATGCTCATTTTTTATGAATCCCTGCATGTGTTCTGTGGCATATGGGAGTAAAGAGGTAAAGGTGAAAATACCTTTTTGTTCTCTTGCAGCTTGTCATCTAAATCAAAAGTAACAAGCTCTAAAATTTGTGAGGCTCTGCATGTCACAAAAGATTTGTAGTTTATTTCCAGCCTTTGGCGATTTGTACTTTTAAGTGTTTCCAAGATGAAGTGTAACATCACTTGATTTAAGGGACATTTTCCTTTTACCTCTAGGCCAAGGCTAACCTATTCCAAGGTCAAGTGAAAGGAATTTGATGAATAAGTGGTGATTTTGGGTGCTTCACATGCCCAAAGTTTTCAGGGAGGGGATTAAGAGTTATTGGCTGGTCAGTTGGCTGCTCTCTGGCTAAAACACACAGAAAAGAAGGCTGATTTGCATCCCACTTGCATAAGTGACTAAAATCTGCAGTGGAAGCCTAAGCTCCTTCCTTAGCTGATAGATATTTTCCTCAGTTTCCACCAACTAATCAGAAATCAGATAGAGTTGCAGTGGAAATTTCATTCCACTGCCTGCCCAGACTAATGTGTATTTAATGTTTTGGCTTCAGCCTGGAATGAGCTCTCACACTCGACTGAGCAGTGCAGCACTGCCAATAATAGATAATTATTAGGGGCACCACAGCCACCCAAGGTGATTGGCAGTGTGAAATGGTGAGAACATGTTGCTGCCAAAACTGATGACTGCCAATTACAGTTGTGTGATTTAGAGACTGAAATAACCTGCCTTTTCCATTCTGCTGGGAATATGGCAGGCTCTGAGAGACACCTGAATCTCTGACTCTATCTATTAAATGCAACAGGGAAATTTGGTTTTATTGACAGAGAAGTCAGCATGTGAAGTGGAAATTGGGTAATTGTAACTAGATCAAAGCAGAGAACGCTGCTCCAACTTATTAATAAGACAGGCAAAAACATGACAAGGAAAATTCTTCAGCAGAAAAGATGTTTTCCTTTTTACTTGTGTCCCATTGAGGGTCTGTGAGCCCCAGCCACAAATTGCTGTTTACTTAAGTGCTCTCTTTGTTGGAGCCATTAGTGTTAATAAAAAGGAATGAGGTCTCGATTTGGGATGAAGTTTGTCCTGATCACTTTTAGTTTTTTAGCCACCTCTAAAGACAAAGCATTTCCTGTTTCTGCAGCTGCATTTCAAATGAATGAGCTGAGCTCTCCAGATAAGCACAGTTAATGCAACCCATAACCAAGAGCTCAAGAATCAATTAATGCTAATTATCCTCCTTGCCACCATGAACCCAACCTGCAAGACTTAGAAACAGGAGGTTGCTTTTCTCCATCCCTTTGAATAAGCCAAAAGTTTTGTTGTTTGTTGTTTGGGTTTTTTTGGTTTTTTTTTTTTTGTTAATTAAATACATCAAAATCTGTGTAAGTGTGTTAAAAATTGTTTTTAAGGGGAAATAATATTTTGTCTCAAGGGAGAGTTGGAATCTAAACCAGATGCTCAAGAGACCAAAGCACTTACCCTTATTTTCTATCAGTCTTTGGGACACTGAATGCATGTTGGTCCTTGTTCTTTTATGGTATTTCATTAAAAATGAATATTTAACCCTTTGAAGGAGCAGGCAGAGTTCTCAGGGAGTTTCTTTGCTTTGCTTTGGTTTGTATCCTGCCTTCTACTTTTTTTTTTCTTTTTGTTTTACTGCTGCAGCACCATGGTAATGAAATACATAAAAATAGTTTTCCCTCTTCCAGCTTTCACACAGCAGAGTAACTCAATTTCCTGATGAAATTTGTCATGTTGATGCCTTGTTACTTTGGTGATTCTTTTTCCCCTCATAAAACTGGTCAGTTTGGAGCAGGAAGCAGACCTTGCAAATGCTGCCTGTTTTATACAAAGTCTAAAGGTACAGGAGTTTGGGGTTTTTTTGTTTGTTTTTCCTCCACTGAAACATCTGTCCTTACAGCTGCCCCAGTGAGTTACACATCAAAACTTCCTAAGAGTTGTCCAGCAGTCTCCTGAGATCTGTGTAACTTTGCTTTATTTAATTTGGGGTTTTTAAACATGACCTCAAGTCCTCTGTATTATGACCACAGACTTTATGGGATTGTGTGAGGAAAGAGCTCCTTCTAGTGACTGGAGAGCTGCTTCAAAAACCACAGCCTGCATCAAATACCAATATGTGGGGTTTTCCATTCCATTTCCATAGTTCCAAATGTGCTTTCCTTTTACTAGTAAAATAATAGGTTGGCTTGCTTTTGCACATTTGAAAGTTTAATAAGTTTCAGATTATTTTTATTATCAAAATATCAGGCTCTTTTTTTATTATAACATCTTATTTAAGCGTGATGTATCAAGACATCACTGTAACTGTTACATAAATTTTCAAGAATTTCAAGCTGTCTCTGAAAAAAAAAAAAAAAAAAAAGACAGGTAGGTTTTAGTATAAAAGCAATCTTACTTTTAAAGTGACATTTTATTGTTCTGTTTCAATATAATTTTTCTTCCAGGAGAGAAACTTGGATTCTCTAGTTATATCTAAATGCAGCTGGAAATGCGAGCACGATGCATAAGGAATGCAGAGCATTGCAATAGGTGTTACACAGAGTTACTGTCGTGCATGGTGTGAGTTTTGTGGTTGCAGATGGTGCTGGTTAAATGCCTGCAGGGACATCATTTCCCTCTGCTCAGCTCATTGTGCTCCTGGTCCTGCAGAAGGAACAGAAGAAGGGTCCTGTGGGCTGTGGTGTAGGGGCTTTGCACTACATAATTAGTGCCTTGTTAATGAGTTTCGTTTGTTTTCTTAGAGCTAGGATTAACAGAAACACGGTTGAAGCAGTTTTTTTGTGTTTGGGTTTGGATATTTATTATATTTTATCAGAAAGTATGACAGCACTTCTAGCTCTTTGCTAGAAGTGAGGAAAAATGGCTGCAGAGACAACTGTTACAAGCTCTTTTAAGGCTAAACAGTTTAATAGAGAATTAACACTTATACTTTTGACTTAATAACTAGATTTTTATGACCCTTAGAGTGACTGACTAACTAGAAACTACTACTTGAAAACCATGAAGAAGGAAGAAGAAGGAAGATGAACAAAGAAAGAGACAATGCTTAAAATTTTCCATTTTGGTTTATACTTATTACTATGCTATAAATACTTTAAATTTAAAACTTATTACCTTGTGAAAGTACACATTTTTAAATCACTGCATGTGAGGTTAAACCTCTGGGTGCTCTTAAGCACCCAACTTGGGTTGTTTTCTTCAATGAGCCAAGCAGCTCATAGCTGCTATAAAGTTGTTTATTGCAGAAGCACATCAGTCTCAAAAGCAAAAGTCACAGGCACTAAAGTCCATGCTAAGTTTTGGTATGAAGTTTCAAATAGAAGCAGAAACAAAGCAAATGGCAAAAAGCACCAGCTCTCCCTAATGCATGTTCTTATACAGAAACCTCCCAACAAGCTGAGACACAAACTCGGGCCAATACTTCTTAACCTATTGGAATTCTAGTTACTTATCACACCAGGCTATGTATAAACTGTGTATATTGGTCTGTCTTGTTCTATCTGAAAAATGTAAGCAATATTATGTCTAAAACTATGTTCTGGGAGCCTGCATGGAACTCCTAGTATCTAAGATTATGTTTTTCAACCTTCACTAGAACTCGAACTTCTACACTGGTATCTAAGACCTTTTACTTACTAAATGCACTTAAAACCCATTCTACTTACTTACTTGCTTGCTTATACTAAAACTTAAACTTATTCCTCTACTTTGTGTGAGTGCCTTAACATACTTCACTTCATCCAAAGGCTTTAATTCAATTTCTCTGAAGAATTCAGAGAGACTCCTGATTTATTGACTCCAACAACTGCACACTTGTGATTTCTACTTTACTACTTATATCTAGAAGCCGTTTTCAGGGCTTCAGGTTCAAAGCAGTGTTTTCTAGGGGGTCTGTGCTTAAAAATTCCAGATTTCTGGGATCCAGTAGCTGGTAGCTCAGTGGGGGCATATCTGAGTCCTATGGGAAAAACGAACTCGAGGTGTGGCTTTTCCTGGGAAACACAAACCCCTGTTTTTCCCCGTCAGGACTCTCCCCTGAAGGCCGTGCAGATGCTGTGGGTGAACCTGATCATGGACACGTTCGCCTCGCTGGCGCTGGCCACGGAGCCGCCGACCGAGGCTCTGCTGCTGCGCAAACCCTACGGGAGGAACAAACCGCTCATCTCCCGCACCATGATGAAGAACATCCTGGGCCACGCCGTCTACCAGCTCACCCTCATCTTCACCCTGCTCTTTGTCGGTGAGAGGCTCCCCCCGACTCGGGCTCAGCTCGCAGACAGCTGGGCTGTGCGGCCAAAGGGTTGAAATGCTTTAAATACAATGAATTGATGTGCGTTTGTTGTTTCGTTATCCTGGGGTGTAAGAGCCTGATGGAGGCTTCAGGCAGCTTTTAAAATGCTGTTTATTGCATACACGAGGTTACAGCAGCTGGGGGTCGTGGCTGAGCATAGAGCTGCTGTCCTGAAGCCTCTTTCGTTTTGGTTACAATGCATTATATACTTTTTATTACAGAGCATCTTAATACATGGCTACCAGTTAACATTATACACGATGTCTTTTACATTTACATACAACCCATTAAAACTGCTAAAATTACCATATTATGTTAGTGATTAGCTAATTATCAGAGTTAGTAGTTACATGTTAAACTTTAGGACTTGTTCTGCAGTGGAATTTTCTAAAATTTTTTCTCTACTTGCAACATTGGCATTCTTGTTTGCCTGTGAAAATTCTTTTGTTTGGTAAAAACATCTTTTGTTTAAGATAGATTTATCCTTTGCCCTAAGCCATAAAAGCCCCTTCCAACTTTCTTACTCTTTGCCTTCTAGTTACCCAGTAAGACTGGCTCAGCAATTCTTTCCTTCTATATTAAAACTTACTTTTATTCCTATAGAACTTTCTGTGTATCTCCAAAACTCCTCTGTTAAACCCTCATCCTTCCCAATACTGGGTGATGGGATGGAAGCAGAGCAGGTGTCGTCTTGTAGTCACTTTGCAAATATTGTTACCTTGGGAATGGCCTCATTGAGTTTTTTGCCCTCATAAAATACAGGTTTGGGCTTTGGCAAACCTGCAAACTTTGGCAAAAGTTTCTATCAAAGCACAGTGTAGGAGTTTATGTTGTAATAGGAGTCTCCACCCTGCTGCTCCTATACCAAAATTTCATTGTGTGACTTGTCGTGGTGAGTAGGGACATAAAAACAAATTTCAAAAACCCACAAAACAAACCACAGAAAAAATCAAGATCCATTTTACCAAGAGCAAAATATTGTCCACAGTCCAGAAATAATGTTGATCTTAAGTGGTATGGAAAGTAAGTAATCAGCATTAAGTGATACAAATAACACTCTGCTTTGACATTTAATTTCTGGAATGGAGATTAAAAGGGGGCAAGAAGTCTAATTTATTGGATTACTGCATTCTTCTTCAGGCCTTGCTGGCAATGGATGCTTTTTATAGGTTGTATTTTGGAGAGAGGAGGGGAGGAGGAGAAATGTTTCTTGCTGCAGGGAATAGTAGGAGCTAAAAATAGATTCTATTGCTCCACAATAATAACTGAACCCTCTCAAAGGACAGATGATTTTTTCAGTTGGGTACTGCCTTCTTGTCACTTTGTAGTTGCTGTTAAATCACGTGTATTGTCTTTCAGGGGCTTTTTTTTGTCCTTATATACAGACTTCCAGATAAGCTGCAAATGTAAATTTATGGTTTTTAGGAGATTTCTGAGCTCCATTGTGAAAGCCTTGTCCACTTTATGGCCATCTGGGCTTATTTGGGATGCTCAAGAGGAGGTGATGATCTGTTCACAGTGGAATTAAACCAAAAGAATTGCCAGGTTTCTGAAGAGAGGTGGTCTCTAATGTTAGATTTACAGGGAATTTTGAGAATGTCTGCATTAGGAAATTGGATTTTCAGGTTCTCTGAAACAAGTGAAGAAACTCTTGGTAATTCATTTGATATGAATCTTGGACCAAGAGCTTCTGTGAACTTTATGGGGAGTTAGAATGGCTTTTTGATGAGTTTTATGGTTGAAAAGACTTTATACTGAGCCAGATGAAAGCAAACCAGGCTTTCCCCCCTCTTCTGATTGCTCCTGTGTGTCTTTGGAAAACTCCTGCATATTTTGAAGCACACATCCCAGACAATTTTCTGATAAGCCTTGGAAATATCCTTTTCCTTTCTAAGGGCTCAGCTTTGCAGTGCCATAATGTGCAAAACTCAGTGCTTCCATAATTAAATTTCAAATTAATGAGAATTATTTCTATTTTAATCAAATAATACTTCCTTTTTTTTTTGTAGGAGGTTTCTTCAGTGACCAGCACATCAAGTTTTTATCTGTTTTTTTATTTTTAGAAATACATTATGTTTGAACATGCAGTAAATGTCTTTGAGACATCAGAAATCCAGAATTCACTGTCTTATCCTGTCAGACTGTGGAATAATAATAAAAAAAACTTTATTTTTTCAAGATTCACCACATTTTTACAGTTACTCACCATGGGTTGTATCTTGCTTTTTGATTGGTCAGATCAATGAGTGAAAGCCAAATTCTCGAATGAAACAGCAGTGCCTGCTGCTGATCAACTCCAAATCTATTTAAAATCAGGAATGTCTGTGGTTTTTATCACTGATGTCTTTCAATGCTTGGCAGAAGTTACTGGATTGGTAAACGGGTAAAACCTGATGAAGAGGGGTGGCTTCCAAGCACTGTAGAGAATTCAAACACACTGGCAATGAGCTTAAGATTTTATTACACTTGAAAGAATTGAGTGCTGACAGTAATTCCTGCTTGGGTAGGTAAGAGTAGGACTGACAATGCCAGTGTAGGTGTAGAGTTGTTAGATAGGAGGCAGTGCTGGAAAAGCTTCCTGCTCACTTGAGATGTATTTTGCTCATTGGTGCAAGAAAAGTTTTACCTAGAAGGCTGTTAAAGCAGAGAAGGCAGCAGGGTAAAGAAAACAAGGGGAATATGAATTGGTTTGCTTCATTCTAGAGGAAACTTTTCTTTTTTATCTTACACCTAGGTGAGAAAATGTTTAAGATTGACAGTGGGAGGAATGCCCCGCTTCACTCCCCTCCTTCTGAGCACTACACCATCATCTTCAACACCTTTGTCATGATGCAGCTCTTCAACGAGATCAACGCCCGCAAAATCCACGGCGAGAGGAACGTCTTCGATGGCATCTTCAGAAATCCCATTTTTTGCACTATTGTCCTGGGTACATTTGCTATTCAGGTAATGCTCTGGGCAGGAAGGTGATGCCTGCAGAGGCTCCCTAGAGCAGAGGCTGGACAGAGTTAAAGGAATAAAGCAGGGATTTATTAAAAGCCCTTCAAGGGATTCACCTTGGGCAGTGCAAGAGCCCGGCCATGGCTACACCCGAGATGGACCCTGGCTCAGGAGTTCTCACACTTTTATAAGTTTGGGTCCATTCCCACATTGGGGTTCATTGTCCAATCCCAGCTCCAGGTTCTGCAGTCCCACCCTCCCAGATTCTCTCCTCAGTTCGCTGTTGTTTGCACATTTTGGGGCTGGAGCTGCAGCGTGTCCTTGGTTCTGGGGCTGGAAAAGGAATTTTGTCTGGCTGAGCTGTGAGGAGAACTTGTAACACTTGATATGAAATTCAGAGTCCCACACCAATGCAGTCCAGAGTCTGGAAAATATGAAAGCTAAAACATAAGACATCAAATCAGTTACTGTTCATCAGAAATCCACACTAAGCTGTTTGGGGCTTTTCTTCTTTGTGTTTTCTTTTTTTTTTTTTTAATTTTATATCCATGTCCTGCAGGAGACCCATTTAATAGTAAACCACCCGGTTTCATGCATTTTCTCAATCAATACAAGTGTTAACAATGGAAAATGTTATGTAGCCATACTAATAAAACTGAAATTTTCATCCTTATAACTGGGTTAATTCTTAAATTAATCTTAGCATTAGTACAGTAATAACAGCCATTGTTGATATTGTAACTAGTTTTTAAATAAGAAATTGTTTAATAGCATACCAACAAAGCATTTTACAATTCTTTATTACCCCATGAAAAGACAAATTTACCTTCAAATAGCTGATGTTGAACAGTTCTTCTGTTCAATGCCACTGCCCAGTGCTGCTCAGTATTCCCAGCAATCATGCCCCTGGATTGGGATTCCTCATGTTCCTCTCCTGAGTTTGCTGTCCCATCACAAGTGAACATAATCACAGTAATACACACTTTTCCAAAATTTTTCTTCTGTAAGAATTCCTTCTGCTTCTGCATCCATTTTTTTTGCTTGCATCCATCCTGTACTTGATACCATTTGATATTATCATTTAGAAATCTGTTTTTCTCTTGTCATTATTGCTCAGCTCTGCATTGGCACCTCACTATTGGCACTTTTCTCCTGGGAGGGGGAGGAAAGAGCAGTTTGAACGTGGGCTACAGTGATTGGAAAAGGGAAACTCCTCAATAAACCCAGTGTTGGAGGAAGGGCAGAAGTGATAGGAGCAGAACTTCAGTGGTGGCCTTCAACAGCTAATTCAAAATCATGAGTTTAAAACTTGGACAATTTAAACCTCTGGATGTGATTTCAGGACCCTGATTTTGCAGCAGCACTATTAACAAGAAATATCAATACTATCTGATTTTCATTTAGCAAAACCTCCTCAGGCTGTGTGTTATCCTGCTGGAGGTGTGGGGTTCTCCCACCCCCTTCCTCCAACAGATCTCGAGTTTTGTAGCCTCTCTCTCTATGATGCACATGTGTAAATACAAAATAAAGTGTTACTCAGAAAGAAAAGTCTCTCTTGCAATGGACATCCCAAAATAAACTGGATCAGGGTCAATAAATCCCCAGTTTAGAATACTCAGGAGCTGGGAGAGCACATGGAGCCTGTCCTGTTCTTTCTTCCTGACCATTCATATCTGGCCACTGTTAAATATGAGGCTGAGGAACTTTAGTCTGAGCTGGTATGGCCTGGCTTTTTCTCATGTTTAATTGGGGATGCAGAAGTTTGTGGGGTTTGATGGGGTTTCTTTGGGGACCAAAATTCTGCAGCTTTTTTTTTTTTTAATCTGGTTTTATTTGTTTTTGTTTTGTTGCCTACTCCTTCTGAAAAACTGACCCCTTTTCCTCTGTGTTCTCTTTGTAGATAGTAATTGTCCAGTTTGGAGGAAAGCCATTCAGCTGCTCTCCCCTGCAGCTGGACCAGTGGATGTGGTGTGTATTTATTGGATTAGGAGAGCTGGTGTGGGGTCAGGTAAGCATTCAGGAAGCTGCACATTCAAAGGTGTGATATTGTTAATATTCCTCTTATTTCCTTGCTCTCTCTCAGTGCCCATTGCAGCCCTCACTGAAACCCAAGGTGCTCTTAGAGAGCTTCAAGGAGAGATTTATTAATAAGGATAATTCATCCCTTTGTTCCTTTGGGTTTTTTTGTTAATTTTGACATTTTCCTATCTAGCAGGGTGTGCTGTCATCAGGGCCATCTTCAGTTAGGCTTTTTTGTGAAAGATGTTGAATCACAACTCAAGTCCTTTAGTCATAAAAAAATGCAGCAAAGGCAAATGCACTGTGACCTTCCCTAGACAGAATTCCTCCTGTAGGATGTGGCAAAGTTTTGGAGCTGAAATGAAGTTCCAGTTCCCTTGCTGAAATTGCCATTCTGGCCACTGTCATAGGGAAAATTCCAGTGCCCTTAAAATCTTCCTGCAGTGATTCCCCATCCCCATTCTGTGTGTGAAGGATGGCAGAGGGAATGAAAAAAAATAATTTTTTTGCCTTCAACAATTGTAGAAAATGGCAGTTAAATTAACGTGTCCTTTTCAATTTCTGCTATATCCCCTGTGATCATTGGCTAATAGATAATTATATATTGATGAAGAAACAAATGTCAGTGAGATGATATTAAATAAATTGGGATTGACTCTCTGGAAGTGATATGCAGACACAATCAGTATTGTTAACATTCTATATTATTCTTTTATGTGCAAACACAGGTTCCAAAGTTATTAATATTTTTTCACCTCTAAATGCATTGACAGGGTATTTAAGTTGTTGCCACCTGGTGCAGTAAAGAAAAAGTGAAGTTACATTTTTTTCTCTCAGATGTAAAGGGATTTGTAGATCCACAGTTTGCCTCTATGAAGAGTCAAGAAATTGCCCACTGCAACTGAGTTCTGCTGGACCTGTAGTGAATAAATGCTTGCTTTCAAACCTGACTTCTGAGGAAAAAAAAAAATTAACTTTTTTTGACAGTTTGGTCTCATTTTTCCTTAGAAATAAGCTCAGAATCAGAACAGCCTTTAATGCATATCTGGCTGAAAACCACCACGATTAGAGGATTCTGCTGTAATTATTACTTGAGGTTGGGATTTGACTTAAGGCCTTGCAGGAGGAAGACCTAAAATCAGTTGGATAATCTCAGAAAGGAAGGATTTTTTGGGTGTTTTTCCAACTGTTTGGAAAATATATCAACTTTTGGAGAAAGGGGAAGTCAAGCAGGGAGAGGGAGAAGAATCCAAAGTGTTTCATTCAGCTGTGAAAATTTCCCACAGCCTTTGATCAATTTTTTGGCTTCTAAGTTTTGTTATCTGNATCAAGAACTAATACTAATATTAGCATTTTTTTTCACTTTATTTGCCCCAGGTTTATTGTGAGATCTTAGACATGAAATTAAAACTACTATTGGAACACCTCCCCAGTTTTATCACTGAGAAGAAAGCAAATACAGAGGGGGGAAGAAAAATCTGTCTTGTAGTCAATATTTAGTGATCAGAAAAAAAAAAAGGACTCTAAAAAAGAAAAATTATTTCCATGATTTACAGTCTGTAAAGGCCTGTCTTCATGGAGTTTTTCAGTGAGAGAGAATTCTTTTCCTTTAGCAGTGATGCTTCTCTTCTGCCTCAGGCTTTTCTCTGCTGCTGTGACTCATTCTAATTCAGCACAAAACAAAATTTTATTTATTTATTTTTTTTTAAAATCCACATCCTGAACCTGCTGTTCTTGTGAGCCATGGAAAGCAATCGAGATTTCCAAGTTTTGGTGTCAAAGCAGACACTTCTGAAAGGAATTTAGGGAGAAGTTTCCAGGAAGGCACTTTGAGATTCTTTGAGGGCCAGTTTTCTAACAGCTCCCATCTCTTCTGAAAACCAAGCTCGTTTAAAGTCTTCCATATCCCATTCCCAGAATTACTGATCACTTATACAAACTGTGCTCATTTTTCTGGGAATAATATTTGCTTCTTTAATCTGCATTTATTGAGTCTGTGTCCTGCACTGGCTGGGTGTTGGCAGACAGAGAAAATAAATGAATAATCAAAAAAGCCATGTGAATACCTTAAGAAAAGAATTAGAGCAGAGTCTCATCAGCCTGGCTGAGGTGCTGCAAGAGAGGAACATTCTGTCACACACAATCCTGACCCAATACACTTATTTTAATGAATATCAGCTTAAAAATCCTTTATCACCATCACTTTCATCAGATCCCAGAGTTTCCAGTAGTTTCTCTGTCACTGTAGTTTGAAAGCTGGGAGGCTGAAGGACTTTCAGTAAGTATTTAATGGATGAGAATTTACCCTTTCTTTTTCTCTCCTCTTCTGTCTTTGTTCATGTCACACCATTAATTTTCCAGGCTCACATCTTGTTTTTCAATCTCCCTTTAAAAAGGTTTTATAATAGTGTAGAAACTGTATTTTCTTTTTCTTCAATCTATCTTTAAAAACAGTGTAATAAAAACTGGTCCTGTGGAGCTCAAGGAGACCCTCAGCAAACTCAAAGGTTTGCTTTCACCATGAAAATATCCAGAACCTTTCCATGTGTCTTCACTGCATCCATTCCAGTTTACAAAAAAAAAAATAAAAAAAATTAAAAAGTCTCTCCTCACCAATTTTCCTGCAGCTGTCTTGGTTCTTTCTTCATTTTTCAGACATCTGAGCTTCACAGTTGTGCTAGCTCACTGCTGAAATGAAGACAAAAAAAAGAAAATTGCAGCAGTTTTTTGCTAAGTGGGTCCAATAATTTGTTTTGTAGATTTACTTGAAGCATTCAGTATGTTCCAGGTAATGTCTTGTTTAAATTGCCATGATTTGCTCCTGGTTTTATGCAAGGAATCAGAACAAAGAGAAATTGACTGCCCAACAGGGTAATACTGAAATGGATTTAAAATAATTGTCCAGCTACAGTATCTGCAATTTTTAAAGATTTTTCTCCTCTCTTAATTGCTTCCAAGGACCACTTGTCTGGGCAAACAGAATAAGAAGAGAGGTTAATTTAATCAGAATTTATTGTAGTAAGGACACAGAGTGAGAGAGAGCCCCATGAGAAATCCAACAATCAGATCCAACTTTTCAGAAAACTCAATTTTGATAAATGCCAGAAATGCATTTCAGCTGCTGGAACAAAGGGAAGCTGAATCCATGAACCAAGGGAGGGTGAGAAGATTTATCAGCATGAGCTACAATGGATTTTCACCTCCCATTACCATAAGTCATTAGAAATACCCAAACTCTAATTGCAGAGCTATCAATCTGGTTAAGTTTTCTTTACATAATGGCATTGAAATATTTCCATCTTGTTTTATCTTCTATTTGTTTTATTGATAAGACTTTTCCCAGCCTTGAACCTGCTCCACATTTTGGTTTAGTGGTGCAAGTCATGCTAATTGTTTACACAGTAAATTAAAGCTTTTTGGGACAAAAATGGAGTTGTCCAAGTGCAAAGTGCTGTTAGGAACAGACTTAGCTCACCTTTATAGATCTGACTAAAATATGATTGCTCTTTTGTAATTAGCAGATTGTTCTGCTGTTGCTCTTGAATGAGGCTTATGTTTTCAGTATTTTTTTATAATTTTAGGTCATTGCAACCATCCCAACAAGTAGGCTAAAGTTTTTAAAGGAGGCAGGGAGGCTCACTGAGAAGGAGGAGGTCCCTGAGGAAGAACTCAATGAAGATGTTGAAGAAATAGATCATGCAGAGAGAGAACTCCGACGTGGACAAATCCTCTGGTTCCGAGGGCTCAACAGAATCCAAACCCAGGTATGTTAAAAATAAATGCCCACAAGGTCCAAAAACAGCCAAAGAAATGATTCATGTGAGATGAAGGAGAAATAATATTAACAGGAAAGCCAAGGAATGTCTGTGTGTGTGGAGGATGGCACTGGTTAATTGTTCTTGAAGGAAAAACGTGAAAAACAAAATAGGGGAACTGAGCAAAGAGGGGTGTGTGCAGCAGAAGAGATAAACTGGAAAGATATAAAATGCTAAAATATAAAAGCAGGAATCTGTGATTTGAGAATATCATGACTGGATGTTCTTTTTCTCCTGGAGTGATGACAGCTCATAAGATTGTGCTGCTTGGCCAACGTCAGCTCGCAGAGTGTTCTGAAAGCTTTCTAAAATGTATTGTTTGATTTGCTAAAAAGAAAAAAAAATACATTGTTGCTGCCATTGCTGCACTAACAGAATAATTGAAATTGAGTCTGAAGTATGATGTAGAATTTGATTAAAAAAAAAGAAATCTGTTCAGTTCTGGCACTGCCACACATCAATCACGATTAAAAGGGATTGATTTTCTTTCCTATTAGATAATGAAAAATGTGGTTCTGGATTTTAGTAGGATTTAAGCTGCCATTAAATATTGAGGTGTAAGAGTTGGCTACTAGGAACAATTCCTGAGAAATATCTCTCCCCAACTTTTGCCAAGCACAAAAATCCATGGCATTTTTTAATATACCAGACCTTTGCACTGAATCATGGTGCTAAATATAGTGCAGGTTAGGGAGCTGTGAAATTCATCCTGGAGTGCTGAAGAAAATCATGTGAAGTATTTTGCCTTTTCCATTGCAGTGAAGTGTTTCATTGCACTCAGGTGTGCTCTGCTTGATCTTTCTAAGATCAAGTATTTCTGCCAGCTTGCAGCAGAGAACAGACATCACCACATCAGATGTGTGTGTTTTACATGAGCCTGACAAGAAAAAGAGGTGAATAATTAAGAAAAAGATCTTTTTTTCTTGAAAGAATCTTCTAAAGAACAATTTTGTCTCAGAAGATTTGGGGTTTTTGTCTTCATCCAAGATAAACAGCACATTCTGCTTTTTCACATCTGCAAATTGATACTTTTTTTTTTGGGAGGGGGGAAGATGCAGCCATGAGTTTATTAAAAAATGATGGAAAGAAGTCAAATTAGGGCAGTGAGGTTATTTGTCTGCATCTGCAGAGCATAAATAAAGAGGGCAGAAACTGGTGGCAGAGAGATTAAGAGCTGGGGAATTCCCAGGGTTCTGTGGTAAGAGATTAAATACGGATCTTCAGCTTTGAGCTTGTGTGTCTTGACTCCATTGAGTCATGAGCACTCATCACTAGAGAAAATTCAAATTTCAGTTGTGACAAACAGGTGCCCAGGTACTGGTGATCTTCAGGGCCAGATGAGCTTTAATGTGCATTGTTTTCTCCCTGGTGCCTGTAGGAGGAGTGTTGCCTGTTGGCACTTCTGTCACGATGTCTTTCTGGTTGGGGTGAGTGTAAACGACTTCAAGTAACACAAAGCAAATTACATCCTTGCAGTTCTCTTCTTAGTCTGAGAGGTAGCTTTTAGTTCTGCAACTCTTTGTCCACTTAATTCACAGAGAAATGATTCTTTTACACTGCTTAAACCCAAATGAACATTAATGATATCTCTTTGCTAACATCCATCTTGGTTTCCTTTCTGCTCTTAGTTGTAGAAGCACCTCTTGTAGGATGTCTCCCTCCACTGTGATTTTTCTTCTCAATTTATTTACTCAATGACTTTTTTGTTTTTGCATCCATTTCACATCTGTGGAATGATAATGAAGATTAAAAAAAAAAAAAAACCAACAGATTCCAAAGCACTGCCCAGGTGTGCAGTGGAGAGTGATGGACTTAGGCCAAATTTGATCCCTGCTGTGGGGCCCACCCAGGTGGATTCATTCCCTTATAGCACATTCCTCAGGAGGCCAGCAAAAGAAGAGCTCCTGGAAGAAGACTGGGATGTCTTTAGCATCCCTGGGAGGATTTGCAGGAATCCTCTGCTGTCTAATGCACTCCTGGAGATGTGGAAGAAGGTAGAGCATCCCCTCATTTTATATCTCTGAGGATGGCAGACTAGGATGGAACTCTGGGCTCAGGAGCAGCTTGGTCATTCAGTCCCAACACCACCAGTTTCCACCAGCTGTAAATTGAATTATTTGCCCTTATTTTCTCTTCAGTCACTATTGGACAGGTGGCCACAGCTGCCAGTAAAACTTCACTGCTGAAACAGAGAACCTCCAACAGGCTGGGGGTTGTTTGCAGGTAACCAACACATCTTCCTTAGAGTGCTGCCATCCAAACCCATCCAAACTGACAAAATTTGCAGTGTTAAAGAGATTTTTTTTTTGTCTACATCCTCTCTCAAACAGAGGGTTCAACCCAGAGGAGAGTTTCCCATCAGGATTTTTCTGTTTCTGTGAGGACATGCATACATTTACTTGAAAGAGAAGTGTATGAAAAATGCACATAGTTAAGCCAGAGACTATCAACTTCTGATGCTCTTTTCAGCCTCCTTTTGTCCATTTAGATATTTTGTTGTTTGATAAATATGCAATAGGGAATCTCAGAATGCGTGTGTGTTCCCCTTCTCTGAATAGATGTGTTTCCTTCCTGGAAACCTCTCTCAGATGGCCACTGAGGGCTGAAGTTTCAAAAATGATTTCTCTTAGATATGCAAGTTTGAGGAGGGTCTGAAAGGGGTGTGAAATTGCATAGAGACAGGAATTTCCAACAGTTTTCTGCATTTTTTTGCCAAGTTTTTGTTGCTATTCTCACAAATCCTTCATTCTGAAGGAAGACAAGATTGATCATGCTCTCTTGGAATGCCTGACAGCCTTTGGGGAGTTCACCAAGTTCATCTTCAGGCCAAACTGCACAATCTGAGTAAAAAACAGGAAAAAAAATATGCATCTCACCTCTTCTAGTTGTATATTGAAAGTTTCTCTAGTTGCCTCACATTTGAGAATAGAAATGTTCTGAAGCGAGGAGATTCAAAAACTTCTCAAGTTTGTCAGGAATTTCCTCCCCCAGCCTGATTCTTTCCTCTTCTGCTTCATTCATCCTGAAATTCAGTTTGCTTTATCTGCATCAGATGGGAACAACTGTCTGAAGTGTTCTGAGAATAAAAGGAAAAGCTGAAAAAAAAAAAAATCCAGGTGAGAGGGTAACTGCTACTTGAAGGTTGTTTCTCTTCTGATACTAAAAACCACAATGTGGTGCTGGACTGCATTTTTCACCCTTCATTTTTCTTGTAGAAAACATGAAAACTTTGCTCTTGAACCTTCAAATGATCTTCTCTTGAACAACTCAAACCTTCCAGCAGTGAAAGTCACTCCTGGCAAGAAGTTCTGAAGCTGGGCAAAAAGCCAGCACCTCATTTTATGGTTTCCATGTAGCTTTTCATATAGAAAACATCATGGTAGCCCTGTGTAAATGGAAGGGGAACTGATTATTTCATACAGAAAGGTGGCTTTTTATTTTTTTTTTTTTAATTTTTAAATTAATATCCTGTTTGGAGATTAGGGGAATGATACCTGGATCTTACATTAACGGCAACAGAAATATTTCTGAAAATCTGTTCTGTGTTAAAAATCAGGAAAAAAATTCTGTTCTGCCAGGGCTAGCCTGCTACTATCAGATTTTTATTTTTTTTTAATTGCTAGTCACTCATATTTTTATTAGCTGTGCACACCTAAAAAATTGGATCTTCTAGAGTATGGAAGAGAGAGAAAAATGAGACAGGTGGGAAAAATGTCAGCCTTATGGATAAGCTTCAAATGTAGGACAGCATTTTTTCTCTACCTGAAGGCCTATAATGAAAACATAATTGCATCCTATATTATGTTGGAAATTTGTTTAAACTTATGAATTTTTGTTTCCTTTCTCTTCCTTACCAGCTTGTTCTAAACAAATGCATTCCTTTGTCATGAAAAGGTTCCATCTGAATTCAAAATGCACTATTTGTTTCCATGAGCTCTTCTTTGTTATTTTCTGCTTGGAGAAGATAAACTTTTGGAACAAGTTCTTCTCTTCTTTCTTGGCTTCAGTCAGAGCTGTATGTTCAGCTCTTAGGATTCTGGAGAGGTTGGCATCCTCCCACCAGGAATTATATCCATAAAGAGCTGGAATTCCTTTTTTCAGGAGAAAAGCAAATTGCATGGCTCTAATTCTTCTTCTCTGAAGAAACCATTAAATGCAGATCTCCCCTCATCTTTTCACTCTTGTACCAAAGGTTTTCAGTTTGTTAGGAAGGCTTTTGCACATCTAGAAAAGCCCTTTGGCTCAGGGTTTATCACACAAATACACATTTCATGCCCTCACTGAGGGCCTTTCGAGTCTTTTTTGAATGATCTCTTTTGAAGAGTGCTCTTCACCTGGGTTAGACCCTGGCAATCCAAGATCTGTATTTAATTCTGCTTTTATAGAGTGTTTCAGGTGAGTATTTAATTCAGTGGTTTGAGCCATGTGGTTTTTCCATGACCCTGAGCTGAAGATCCCCTCATCCCCTATCCCACGTGCAAACTCACCTCACATTGTCCTTTGATTATGTGACATTTGCACTGGACATGTAATTCTGCTGCCAAAACCAAAACTCTCCAATGCTGTGGGCACTGCTGAGACTGCCCAGCCCTGGCTGTGTGCAGTGAAATGGTACCAGGGCTCACACAGAACAAATCAGGCCCTTGGGTTTGTGGAGGAAAATTCACTGTGGTAATTGTACAGCAGTAACCTGGGATCCTTTTTCCAGCTGGCTGTGGTTGATTATTCCCATCAAAAAATGCAGGAAAGTAAACAATGATGGCCAGAAACAAGATTAAGAGAGGGAAAACATCCATATTATTAAAGTTGCAGCCCTATAAATTGGTTTATTCCCGAGTCTGACCACAGCACAAAATCATAAATTCATTCTAGTGCTTCCCACTTGGAAAATTTAGCAGGGTTTGCACCAAAATTTATGCTGTTTAAATGGATAAAAATACCACCAATTTACCTCCTTCTAGGCTGGGAATCTCCAGAAATGTGGGTTGCATGAGCTGGTAACAGTGGGTTACTCAAACAAGTAGTTGGTTGAATTCCTCCCAGGCATATTCTGCTGCTTTGTCTGCTGGGGTTGCACTGATGCAACAGAGAGGACATTTTGGGGTGTAGGGATCTGTGGGGTTTACTCCTGCCAATCCCTGGCTTTCCCTCTGTACCCAAAGCCTGTTTTTAATGAGTTTATAGCGGTGCCAAAGGATGCCTTGAAATACTCAGCTCTGTTTTTAACTCCTCCACTGTGGTGGGGAGTGAAAGGAAGATAGATCTGTCAAACAGGGAGTACAGCAGGCATATGAAAACAAGCAGAAAATTGTCATGTTGTTTGCTGTAAGAGTCAATCCAGTTCCATGTCATTTTCCAAGTGATTTTAAGTGTTCTGTATAAAGATAAAATATTAATATCTTAAATCTCCAGTTATAAAACTCCAAGATTCTTTATCATTAAGCTAAATTTATACAAACTTTCATTACAGAAAAAGTCATCTAAAATATTGGAAGATTTATTTTATCAAACTAGTGTACTGACAGCCCTGGGTTTGTAGACAAAATGGAGTCATATATTGAATTTTAAAGTTTTTCTGTTTTGGTTGAGTGTCATTCCCGTCCCCCTTCCCCAGATTCCAATTGAGTGACTGAATTTTTCTCCCCCTGGAGAGACATAATTTTAATCTCGGTAGGAAAAAAAGAGTGGAGATTAGTTATATCAAGTATTCCACCTGATTTGATTTACCTCTAAATAAAATGGTTTAAACTTCGCTAAAACTGTCATTTCAAATTTTCTACTGTTTAAAGTGATGCAGCTCCACTGCCTCCTACGGAGCTGCCTCATTTTACCCAGCCAGAGAATTTGAATAATTTCTAAAATCACTGAGAAGGAACACCTTGATTCCAAGGCAAGCAGAAGCGTGTGCACGGTCGATTTGTTGTTTTTTTTCATGATGATTCCTGTCAGTTATGCAACTGTGTCCATACTTTAAGCAACTTGTCTCGTTCTTTCCTCCGTTACAGATCGAAGTAGTCAATACTTTCAAGAGTGGCACTTCCTTTCAGGGGGCTCTCAGGAGACAGTCCTCCGTCACAAGCCAGACCCAGGATGTAACCAATATTTCTAGCCCTAGTCACGTATCGTTATCCAATGCTCTTTCCTCTCCTACCAGCACCTCTGCTGCTGCGGCTGGGCGTGAGTGTGAATTCTTACTGCACCCGACCCTCAGAGATGCCAACTTAGCCACAGTGGCCTCAGAGCCAGCCCCTCTGCCCCGCTCCCACTCCAGCCAGCCCCCGAGCCTGGCACATGATTACTCTGTGTACAGTAGATGCTCCCCAGGAGTTGCTCTCTCCTCCCCTCTTTGCTGACTCTCAGTCACCACAGCAATTTATTTTCATTGGGAGGAGATTTCGGTTTTATTTGAGAGCTCTCTGCCTCGTTGGGTATATTTCCTACTGTTTATAAAATGCAGTGTACATGATTCTAGAGCTTTAATGATTTTTAATGATTCCAGAGCTTTTCACCAGGAAGACTCTGTAACTTTTCCAGGAAAGACATGGAAAGGAAGGAACAAGAAACAGGGAATCAGGTTTATGATGCCAGGCTTAAACTTTACATGAAAGATGAAATACCTATTTAAGTTTATTCTCTTTCTCTTATTTAGTTTTAGATTTATTATCTCTTATTTAGATTTATTCTCTCTACCTTACTTAGATTTAGGTTTATTATCTCTGTCTTATTTAGGTGTAGATTTATTATCTCTAAATACACTGGCAGGTAAGCGTTGAAGCAGGAGGGACATTGACAAGTTAAAGGACAGTGTTGAAACAACAAAATTGGTGTGGTAACAAATTTCTTAGAAGAAACAGATTTCTGAACCCTAAAATCCTGACACAGCTTGGTTTTAGCTGCAAAATATCCAGTGAAGAGATACTGAAATGAATGAAAAATCTTTGAGACAGCTGATAAGGAAGAGCTGGTTCAGTAACAGAAAAATTGCTCAGAAAAATCTAACTCTGTTTCTAGAGTTTTATTTATTCAGGACTATGAATAGCTATTTTTTATTACAGCATTAAAAGAATATTTAAATGTGTAAAACTCAGTTTACAAGCTTGTCCCACACTTCAGAAGATAATTGGTTTATATTCCTTATAAAAGTTTTAGTAGTTGGCCAAACAGAGAAGAAACTGCTCTCATCTGTCTGGCCAACAGAGCCAGGGAAGGCAAACAGAGATGGGCATCAAATTCCAGAGCTCCTGCAGAAAAAAGGAAGCTTGACCTTTCCATTCTGTTTGAGTGCAAACCCCCTCAGTATTTGCACACCAAACATTCAGACAGGAGTTTTATACCAGCAATTAAAATCTTATCAAACAATCACAAAATAGTCTCAGAAGTATTTGTCCATCAGACACATCTCTGAAGGGTTTTTTTTTTCTTTTTTCATGTCTGGTTGATTGGTTGGTTGGTTTTTAAAGTGTTTTCATGCAACAGCAGAGCACAGCACCAGAAGTTTTGTTGGATTTAAAGGAGAAACTTAATTTTTGCTAAAGCTATTTTGGTTCCAGCATTGGCAATTACTTCTTGGAGATTTTTCTATATTTTCCTATTTTTGTCTTGGGAAGTGTGGCATGAGAACTTTCATCTCAAGAGCCCCAGTTATTCCAGGGCAGCAGCAGGATCAGGGGAAGTGAAGTCATGGAGGTTCCTGAGCCCAGGTTCCCTCATTTCCACACTGAGCAGGGTACAAACCCCCAAATTCCAAAGCAACTTTTAATCCAGGGAATGACTGCCTGGGATAGAATTTCTCCATTTGAGTAGGAAACTGGGAGCAGCTCGTTGTGCTGTGGTAAATGTTTCCTTAATGTGCTGTAGCCAGCACTCTGGGAGGAAAGATCTAATAAAATTTGAATAGACAATTTATCTTCCCTCTCTACTATCCACTGCAGCAAAGAAACAAGAATTGGATGTTCCTGTGTCTTGACAAGGACCCCACTCGTTTATGGGCTGAAGTTAATGAATAGGGAAAAGCAGAATCTGCTCCAGCCTTTGTCACCTTTCATTTGGAGAAATACAACAGGTGTCCAGAGCTGCTTATGGTTATAACCACATTTCTTCAGTGGCTATAACATATTTTATATTTTACATAAATTTATATATTATATTTTATAAAATAAAAGATATATTTGTTTTATAAAATAAAAGCCAGGTGATTGATTTGTTAAACTTCTCAGAGATAAGGATCTCTATGGCAGAGGGCAATTAGAGATTGGGATTTTCAAGTGGTTATTCTGGACTGTTTATTACCACAGCAGAATGTCTGCTGGTATTAAATCAGAAACTATAACACTTAGGGAAAATTTTGATTTATTCATGCAAAAACACAAATTTATCAATGGCAGTGAAAAAACCTCATCAGGTAAAATCCCCATGGTTTTTATTTTTAAATGGTTTTTATTTACAGTGGGTTGCTCATATTCAAGAGCAAAAGGAAAACCTTTCCTAATCCAATGTCATAGAAATGGGAGAAATTTTTGTGAGTTGGAATTTTTTTGAGGAAATCCCAGTTGCTAAATGCTCACCTAGGGCTGCATTTCAGCTCTGTGCTTAAAATGTGTGTGGGCACACAGGACTGGCTGCTTTCCTCTGAGCTGCTCAGGACAGCCCAAACCCATTTCCTTCTTCCTATGGGGTGGGAAGGAAAAATGAGATAATTTTACTTCTGATTTTGAAGCCTTTCCCAGTCTTCAGGATCGTTAAACATACATATAAATATATCATGGAGAGTATCAAGAGAAAACCTTGAGAGTATAGGGAGGAAAACAGGGTCTAGTTCTTGAAACTTGCTCAGGATGTTGCAACAATTGGGATATTTCAGGTGTCATTTTGGGTGCCCAAAATGGAGAAGGTCCAGTATCAATTAATACTTAATTAAAAAAAAGGAATCACGTGATGCTCTATTAATATGTCAGTCTAATTTAACAGAGCATTTATGAAGCTCTTTACTAATTGTGTTGCTTTTTAATATAGAGTTCATTGTGACACCTTCCCAATCTGTGAGATGTCTCCTGCAGGTTTATAGTAACATTTTTGATTTTTTTTTTTAATTGAATGTTTTTCTAGTATTTTTGGGCAAAATAATGTTTGATTCAAAGCTCAGTGCTTGCTAAAAGAGAAATCTGCCTGTGGAATGCATCCACTCCTACAATGGTTTGTGAAACAGATTAGCAAGTTATTACCTGTAATTAGCAGCTATTTACAAATATGGCCCATTCAGAGATGTGAAAATCCTTAATTAAAAGCAGCTTGTACAAGGGAATGTTTAATACAATACTAAAGTTTCTCTAGTGAGCTATCAGGGTGTTTTTACCAATAACAAATTAGAAATTTCTGGATGTCACCTTTGATGGATAACAGTGAGGTCTGTGAGTCCCTTATCTGTTTTGAAAGATGTTGCAGCTTTAAATAAGCAGAGTAAAAATTCCTGCAAATTAAAACCTGGCATTTTGTATATTCTGATAAAATTAGGAAATTCATTTAAATGCACAATAAATATGTGAAGCTGTTTAATATGTAAGCCTTTAAGCTACAGAAAATGAAAATATGGGGAAGTGAAGCAAGGTGGTCTCAGACCTTCTCAGACACAGATTTACACACACAAATTTCTATCATTAGAAAACTCTGCCACTGTAGATTTGAGGGTGGGTTCAGATACAACCTTTGGTAGGTTTGTGTTTTATATGTCTTTCTTTCTATGCTTTATTTAGGGGGGGGAAGCCCAGAACCTTGGGGCAGTGGAGCATCATTTTTTTCCTTTTGAAGCTCAGAATTAATAACACCAAAAATTAAATTTTGCCTAAAATCTACGATGTGATTAAAGCTTTTACCATTAAATTTTTTAGTTACGTAGAGGGTGAGAATATCTAACTGTACACAAAGTAACCAAGTCTTTATCCCACTCTGTGTATTCCTGGTTCTCAGATGTTTATGTTAGCAATAGGTAACCCCTGCAAAAGAACACTGTTTCAGATTTTTCCAAGAAGGACACACCTTTAATATTCCTTTTTACTTGCTCTTCCTCTCATTCTCATATGGAGCTCATACTCTTCCCAAGTGCAAGCAGTCAGGAACTGCAGGTCCCTCAAAAACATCTCTCTTTCAGAAAATATTCTAATTTTTAAGTTTAGGGAGCATTAGGGAAACAACAAACAAACCAAACCCCAGCAAAAGGAGACCTCCCAGAGTTCCTTTTCCTTGGTTCTGATGAGAACTGTCTTGTCAGAGGTTTTTAGAAGTGAATATTTAATGGAATCACTTGAAACTTTTTACTACATGAACCCAGCAACAGTGGCCTCAAGTGACCCACTTGTATGGTGAGAGTTATGACTCCAAATTTTCTAGCAGCAGTTCAAACCTCACCAATCAATCACCGAATGGTCTCAGAGGTATTTATCCATAATACAGGTCTCAGAAGGGTTTTTTGGCTTATTATTTTTGTCTGGTTGATTGGTTGTTGGTTTTTAAGCAGAGTGTCCATGCAGGAGCAGAGCACAGCACCCTTAAGGCTGGATTTGTGCTCTGCCTCCATTCCTGGAGGGGCCACGGCCACAGCTGGGGCTTCATGTGCACAGCAAGCAAACCTTTCCCATTCCCCTGTGAGTAAAGAGTCCTTGCATTCTGAGATGTGCCAGGATGTGTAGGGAGCAGGCTTGGACGTTCAGCGTTGGCTGGGGGTGGCACAAGGACAGGAGCTGTCATTTATTTGCAGGGTGAGGTGTCACCCAGGGCACGAGGCCACCAGCATCTGCAAATTGTGTCACACCAACGTGGGGCACTCAAGCTCCATTCCAGTGGCTCTCATTTCCCAAGAGATCATCTTAAAGATTTCATTTAACTGTTTGCAATCTGTTGTGTATGAAGAACTTTTAAATATTTACATAGCAAAATTTCTGTGAAGGAAATAATTCAGAATTCAGAGCTAAAATTTAAAGTAAAGTCTTGTTTGAATGGAATTTTTCATAAAGAAAAATGAGAATAAATTTCTTTTAAAGAAATCATCTACTTTAATAAAAGCTGAGGCAAAGATTGCTGCCCAGTATGGATCTACATTCAGATCACAGACCAAGCCCAGTGGGCATTTTCTGTACAGGAAGGTACAGCCATCACAGGAAGAAATGGAACAAACAGAAATTAAATAAAACCCACAGCTAAAATTATATTTATGAAAGTTACACCATGGAACCAGAGACTGGGGTTCCACAGTAAAGCCTAGAACCAAGGTTTGACAAAACCCTCCTGGGATGTGCAAAAAATCAAACTCAACTCTTGGAACTCCTCCCTGAAGGGTAATGAAGCAGATTTAGAGCCCAAACATAAACCCAAGCCCTCAAGTGGAGATGTGCCATGGCAGGAAGGCTTAGATCCTAAAGCACAAACAGGTTCTTTTAAAGGCTTGTGTGATTTATTGAAATCTGATACAAAAACGTCAAACTCCATAATTTTGCAGTGATCCTGCTGTGGAAAGTGGAAGCCCTGCACAGGCTCTGCCCATTTACTCTAAAATCCAGTGGAATTCAACCTTTTGTGGAATGAGAATCAGGCTGTGTGGGTGCTCTGCTTTTCTTGCTGCCCAGGGTTTGAATTTTGAGCAGCACTTGCAGGATTTGCTGCATCTTTATGTGGGAAGAGAGTAGCACAGATAATGTTATGCATCTGTTTCACTTGTTAAAGCAGAAAACTAGAAATTCTAATTTTTATACACTTTTTTTAACTTTATTTTTGAATTTGCTCAACTTCTGCATCCTACTCCCCAGAACATACAAGGCACAACATTTACAGGTGACCCCAATTCATGCAGCATCTCCTGTGGAGACCTACTCTGATTTTACTCACCTAAAACTGGGAGGATTCAAAAAGAAATATCAATATCCTGAAGATGTTTTCTATTTCAAAGCTTTCCATTTGCAATAGTCCTTGTCCAAACTCCTTTACCTTTGTACAGTTTAGCCTTGACCTAGAATAGTCTCAGTTACACCTAAGAGTTGGCATCTCTTTGCAAAATTGACCTCTTGTTTACAATTTTATACTAATCACCTTACTGACCTTTCAGTATTGAATTTATTTGCTGTTGCAGTGCCCTACTCTCTACTGTCTGAATATTAAATGTGTTTGTTTTCCCAGAGGGCTAGAGAACATTGGACAAAAGGGTTCAGCAGGAGAGAGTGAAATAAAAAGAGGTTGTGAGTCTTTAACCTTGAGCCTGAAATGAATGTGAACCAAACTCCAGATACTTGGCTTAGATGAAGCCAGGTAAACATTCGAGTATAAGCCCACACACTACCAACCAGAACACAGCTTTGGTGCTACAAGGCTTGGGAGATTTTGCCTAGATGCTTGTATTTAGGACTGACATTCTCAATATCACCTTTTTCTTCTGATGGGGAAAAAAATTTGTAGTATCTGAAATTCTATTTCCTTTTTTTTTGTTTTTGTTTTTGTTTTTTTTTTCTTGCCTGATGCAGTATAATAAATCTGACTTTCAAGGTGGGATGAAGCTGAAGTTTTTTTCTGTTACAGCTCCAGAGAAGAAAGAAGTGGAAACTTATAGCAATGTCAAAAATGTCCTGAAGTGTTGTCCCCGCAGTCTTTTGTTAAAAGCAGTTCATTTTTTTCTGTTGTCTCCATTACTGTGAGAAAAGGGAGCTGTATCTCACTGTTTGTCTTCCCTTGGCATTGTCAGTTTCATAAAGAAACACCATTACATGAACTCTACATAGTTCATACTAAACCAACACTTCCCAGGCTCTATCCATCATGGATGTCCCTGCTTTTCCATGCTTTTACAGCCATAACAACATCCCAAGTACATCTGCTTTATTTTATCTTCAAAAACCTGGCTGAGCTTTGTTTCAGCAGAGCCCCAAAACGTTTTTACACCAACTATTACCTCTTGAATCTTGAATTTAAGCATGTGTTAAAAGAATTTGTAGCTGTTGGGCCATGTAACTCAGGGTAAATATAAATATTTTTAAATCTGGGAGTTGGATCAGCTATAATAGGTAGATTAAATACTGTAGTATTATGGTAGAGAAATTAAAAAGCCACCTTTACATTCAAAAACCCTCTGCCTTTGCTTCCACTAAGTTTTGTCCCTGCAAGCAATAATTTGATCCATTGAGGGGACAGACTTTGGAGGTGATTTTGAATTTTATTGTAATGCAGAAATTCTGTCACTGAATGATGTGTGACATTAAAAAAAGAATTAAAGTTTTCTTCTGATTGCCAAGCTAAACGTGCAACATTTTAAGTAGAGAAGGGAGTTTCCTCAAAAGCGAAAAATTAATGCAAAACTAATACACATCTCCATAGAGAAATTTTAAGTGAAGATAGAGTTTCTACAGCTCCCTTGTGAGGAAAACTATTTAGAAATCTAATTTGATTTATTGTCAGCTTTAGGGACTTGTCAAGTTTGGCCCTTCCATTACCATTGCCTTCAGAAGATGAACTACCTTAGGTGTCAGCAGAGCTGAAGCAATTCTAAGCTGACATTTCCAGAACCAACCAATGTGAACAGGTGGAAGCCATTCTAGAAACACCTCAATGTTCTTGCAAGACCCAAACAGTCCTGGCCAAAAATGTTGCCACACACCTTCACCCAAAGTGAGAGGCTGCAGTTTTATTTTCAGATCATGAAGCTAAAAATAATTATTGCAGTGCTCCCCTGCAATGGCTCATTAATTAATTAATTCCAGAGGCACTGCAGAGCCCCAGATCCAGGTCGTGGCAGGCACGTTTGCCTGTCAAACACAAAGCTTTCCCTGGATTGACTAGAGGCTGGGAATTAAATCCAAATGAGGTGCCAAATGTTGGTAATAAAGCAATATAAATGTTTCCCTAGGTGGGATGTGGAGCTCACAAATTGAGATCAGTTTCACCCTTGCTAAACCATGGAAACTTAAATACAGTTTGTTGGTGAAGAAAAGCTTTCCTTTCTTTGGATTCTGCTGGATCTGTTCAGGATAATATCAAACTCTTTTGTTTATGTAAAAATTTACCTTTGCTATAAAGAATCCAGCTGGTAAATAGAACTGAAGCCTATGCTATAAGAAGTGGCTGTTTCCAAGCTAATGAAATTATCGTGTTAATTGATAAGCTGTAGCATCCAGCTGCAGCTGAGGAGGTGACTGGAATTTGTGCTTAAAAAGCAGAAATAATGTGGAGGTTTGCAGAAATGTCACCTCATCAGCCCATACTCTAAAGTACCCCCAGTGCAAAAAGTTTCCTGATTTAAAATAGGGCAGTATGGGAACGTGGTTTTAAGGCTGCCTCAACAATCATACAGTTTTTTTCATCATTTAGACTAATTACTCTGCACTTTAAAAGACAAGCGTGGAGGGCATAGGTAGAGAAGGAATTTGTTACCTTTTTTGTCTTTAGCAATGCAGAGGAATCTCTTACCCCCCTCTCTTGACTCTACAGAGCCCTCACACAGCTCAGATTCAGCTCTCATAAACCCCTGGTTTTTATTTCCAGGAGCTCTCTTAGGTACACTGTGTGATTGCAGTGGGTGAAACCGATTCGAAATTGATTTGTGGATTTTATTGTGCAAGACAATCTCTCTCTTGCACCTCTGCCAACCTAAAATGTTCTCGCAGCCCAGGGTCTGGCTGAGCTATTCTGTACCACTCCAATCCTCTTACCTGGAGCATGAGCAGTCACATGAACTACTTTTTGTACTGTGCCCTGCTGTTACCAAATGTATCTGTGAAGGGAAGGGAGAGAATTTGGGCTGACCAAAGGATCTGAACGTGGCAGGACTTCAGCTGATGATGAATATCCAAATTCAGAGAGCATAAACTGAGTTCAAAGAAAAAAAAAAACCAAAAACAACAACCCAAGTCAGCCTCTTCCTCAAATGTGCTGAAATTCTGTACAACTTGGCCAGCTCCAAGCATGGGATCAGCTGGACCCCACAGCTGGAACCCTGTGGCCCTGTGCCATTACTGAAGTGCAGTCTGCCAAGGCAAAGAGGAATGAAAGCTTTCCAAAGCAGTGGTGTATCAGGCCAACCAACAATGTGCAGCATATTTACATGTAAAAAGATCCACATGCCAACCACCAAACCATTTCAAATGTGCGTGGAGAAGCTTTCACAGTACCTGCTTGCACCTTTTCTGCCTCTGCCTGTGTTTTAGTCTCCCCCCTGAGAAATGCTCAAGGTTCTCTCATGGACTACATGGAAGTAGAGGGATAGAACTCATACTTAGTCATGAAACATTTGCCAACAGATCACGTTTTGCCATTCCGTTTTTTCCTCTCTGCCCCTCCACCCCCTTCCAAAAAGTTCTGTTTTTTTCAGCAGTAACCCAGCACAACCCTTCACTTCTTTTGAGAACTGGTAGGTCCCTGGGACGTAGAGAGCATCCCTCCCTTTGCCCACCCACAGAGGACGTAGTGTCCCTGCTCCTTACTCTGCTCCTCCCATTTCCTACTGGGCAAATGCTGGGCACCATCCCTGAGAATCGCTGGGCTGAGTCTTGAGTTGATTTTCACCTCTGTTCTTACTGCCAGGTGGTTTCTGGCATTAGGTGGCCCCTGGCACAGGTCACTGACCTGCTTTAAAGACTGCATAAATGGCATAAATCGTGTGGCTGTCAGCATTTAACTGCACGACTGAAACACCAAATCCAAACAGCTCGCTGTTAACAATGGGACTCAATTCAACCCAACAACCAATCCATTATTTTATTTACATGTTCTTCTATTTATGAACAAGCTGAATGGCTAGAACAGTGGGTCTATACTCGAGTGTTTACCTCACATCTGCATGAAGGACAAATAAAACTTGGTTCAACTATACTATGTTCACATTATCCAGGCTTCCAAGTGTAGTTGTTGTGTGCAAGTTATCTCTGTTTATGTGGTAACTGTGATTTTTTTTTTTTTTTTTCCCCTGTGGTAGCATGATTACGCTTAGTACTTTGTCTGCTTGGCTTTTTGTGCTCTTGGCTGCATCCATTTAGATTTTGCTTTAAAACATTGATATTCTAGTTTTTACACTTGGCTCCTGTGTGTGTCTCATACGTACCCATCCAACCGTGTCCGTGTTCCGTGCTTTTCTGTTTGTGAAGTGTGATATGTTATGTGTAATGGTTTTTTTAACAACAATACAAAAGAGACTTTTTAATTAAAAAAAAAAAAAAGCCTTTCTACTTACTCACTGCAAAAAAAACTATCAACATGCATGGTTTGACATTTGCATTACAATTAACATGGCTTGTCTTTTACTAGGGATGTACCACACGAGTGGACCTTGGCTTTCTTTAACCACTCCTCCCCATCAGTTCTTTGATGGCTTTAAACTTTGATTTATTTTAATATTGCAGTTGGTACAGACATACAAAATGCACATAACTGAGCCACTCGTTTATGCATATAACATCCAGAGACTTTGGACTCCAGCTGCCTGCACTGCCCTAACCATGTGCTACATTTTTCACCAAGTGTTCTCTGCCCTGCTGCTGGCTGGGGAGGTGCCCTCTGACAGCCCTTTCCTTTTCTCCCCCCAGATCCGCGTCGTGAAGGCATTCCGTAGCTCTCTCTATGAAGGTTTAGAAAAACCAGAATCTAGAACCTCTATTCACAACTTTATGACTCATCCTGAATTTAGGATAGAAGATTCCCAGCCCCACATCCCACTCATTGATGACACAGACCTAGAAGAAGACCCTGCTCTCAAGAAAAACTCGAGTCCACCGTCCTCGCTGAACAAGAACAACAGTGCTATCGACAGTGGAATCAATCTTACAACTGATACAAGTAAATCAGCTACCTCTTCTAGTCCAGGAAGCCCAATACATAGCCTGGAGACATCACTTTAGCTGAAAAGGTCACTGCAAAAAAAAAAAAAAAAAAAAAAAAAAAAAAAAAAAAAAATATAAAAAGTTAAAAAAAAAAAAAATAAGAAACCCCACAGCAACCGAGATATATAAA